TATGTGTATGTTTAAAGAATGAAGGAAACTCATATTCAACCGGACGCTTGACTCGCAACAGTGCATTCGTGGTTGGGTGGAGGCATCATGATGGATGCCATGTGACTCCAGTATAGAACAGGTAGAAACTACCTTATTCAACTGAGCCCCACCACCATTGTGGGAACTCAGTGCGAAAATTTTGAGATTTTGAGACTCGTATAATAGATGCCCAAAATAGCACTTGAATAGTAAAAAATTACGATATCTACCTATCCATCCATCTCCGCCCACCATGGTTGAGGCTGAGGTAAGACAATTGTAAGAATTTGAGACATTTAGATACCCGAAAATGGAACTTTAATACATAAAAAAACGAAATTTACCCCATTATGGACGAGGCGAGAAAATTGAATTGGGGACTTTTAGATGCCAGGAATGGCGCACTTTAATTATACATGAATTACGGTACTAGTATATCCACCTGAGCCCCATCATGGTTGAGGCTGAAGTGAGAAAATTTTAAGAATTGGGGACTTTTATATATGCCGGGAATGGCACTTACTACATAAAATTTATGTCGGTCATTTTTTAACATTTAAAAAGTTGCACTTTATATATATTTTTCAAACCCTAAAGGAAGGCACCCCTTGGATATGCCACTTCAGCAATATCTTCCTTGTCTCTCTTTCGGGCACACCCGGTTAATGAAGAGCAAAGCTATAACTTTTTAGCGACTGTTTTTCACAAATCTTTTTTCCATAAGTTGTGGAATGTACTGCCGCTGTGTGTTTAGATCCTTTTTTAATTGCTCGAAAGGAAAGACCTGAACTTGTCATCATCTTTTCTTGTTAGTTTCATAATTACAAAGCGAGATCTCAGTTGCTGGAAGTACTGTAGGCACATGGTTAAATAGATATTATTCAAATACCAATGGCAAACGATGTGAAAAATTACAAATAAGTTTGTGGAGTATTTGAATATTTTTTCCTGATACGCATAACACTCAAAGCAAGAGATAAGATCATATACAGCCTTATGCTATATCTATAATACCTTACAATGAAACAAAACATGTTATTTTCAGGTTGTGATAAGCAGCTAACGACTTTGACTGGAGAATTTACCAGCCCAAATCACCCATTGAATTATCCACTAAACATCGACTGTGTTTACACGATCGTCGTTGATCCGATCTATAAGGTCGTACTTACCTTTGACCCATTCAATGTTGAATTTCAAGACACATGCAAATATGATTTTTTACAGGTAAGGTGCTTGTCACTTTTGTTTCAAAAAATATGTTTTGTATGCTATTGTTGTACAACTACGCAAAACTATTACAACTACGCAAAACTATTACAACTACGTACGGTACTTAATATCACAGGTTATCGACAAAGCCGGAGATACGGAAAAGAAATTTTGCGGTAGATATTCCGATCCGTTAATCGTACAATCAACAAACAACAAAGTGGTAATAAAATTTCATTCCGACAATATGACACCGAGCTCCGGGTTTAGAGCCCGCTATGAGTCATGGCTTCTCCCCACATCTGCTCCAGTAATCACAGGTATTAAGTTATCAATTTGTCAGATACGACCATAACATTTTAATACTTAAACCAATTAATTGCTGGCTATGGTTAGCCCATTGGTTTATTCGGTACTCAATCTTGCATTCTGAAATTTCTATGGTTTATTAATGTACATAGGCCTTTTTTGCGCATACTGGAAATAAGTAAGTAGCAAAAACTTTAATAACAGTAATATTGTTAGATCGCTCACATTATTGCCCTATATGTCATTGGAACGATGACCATAGAACATACACATGTAATATTCAAGCAGTTTGTAACATACATTTTTATATTTGTAAAAGGCTGCCCGCATGTGGAACTGGTAACACCTACAGGAATTCTTTCATCGCCTAATTTTCCACGAAACTACGACCTCAATATAGACTGCAGTATTAGAATTGTTTTGCCAAAAAGTTACGTCTGTCGTATACATTTCGAAACATTTGATGTAGAAGACGAAGAGACTTGTAACTATGATTTTGTAAAGGTGAACTATTATTATTATTAGTATAAGTATTATTATTAATCGCACTATAATCATGATATAAAATCTTTTTTTTTTTTTTGCACAAGTAAAGGAAAACTATAAAACCACGCATGGGGAGAACGAAGAAGCAATATACAATAGATAACATTATTTAAACAATGGAATATATTCAAAGTTATAGGTATTATATATTATTATATTTATAGTTATATATATTTTAAGTACAGATTTTTAAAACTAGATTAATTTTATTTGCCCCTTGCAAAAAAAAAATGAAATTATTGAAAATTTAGAGAGATTTTCCATGAATTCTATTTTAGTTTATGGAGAGATTTGTCACTGGTTAAACCAAGTGTAGCAAAAACCAAGTGTAGCATCAAAGACATTGTCGCCAATATAATAGAGTATCAGCTACTACCACAACCACTACTACAAGGAATACTCTTCTTGACAACTGTATCGCATTTTACCCTAAATTTACAGACCTTTGTTTTACCTAGTATGCAACTATGCAAAAATAAAATCATTTTTTCTATATAATATAATGAAAAATTCTATATCTTAACAATTTTAATGTCCTAAATATTTACATTGCTTGTATAGTATTTCAATGTGGAGAGCCTTTTGAGTGTTATTTTATTTATACCATTTATGCAATACTGCTTCGTTGAGTTACTCTTGTATTATGTGTCATGTGAAAAGCGAAATAAATGATATGATATAAATGTCAAGTGGGCTATGAGGTGACACTCTTTTATACACATGTGGAATTACGTAAACCGTATTGAAATAGATTATTATACATTAGGCAAACTTAGCATGTACATAAAGGTTACGGTTTCAGGGTGTGATATGCCGATCCATTTTTTTGTAAACCTTTTGTAAACCAGTTCGACAGAGCATCAAGTTTATTCCAGATGAGAAGAGCATACGTTGTCAACTTAATCTTTGAAAAACATAATCATTATAAATGCGGATTATAAAAACATATTTTTAAAGAACCCAGAAAGGGGATGTACGTATCCTCAATCGTTTATTAAATATTTAAGCTTCCGCTGTTTTGATGGATAGAGAACGGAACATTGAGGAAATAAAAAAACTTAACTTACAAAAATTTCTGTTAGCCACACATTATAATGATAAAACTTATCTTTCAGTTAACAAGTTATCCAGGTAAGAAAGAACAGTATTTTTGTGGACATCGTAATGCATTCGACTGGACATCATCTGGTAACATCTGTATGTTGGATTTTCACAGTGATGACTATATAACAAAAGGTGGTTTCAAAGCCACCTATGAAGCAGTAGAAATATTAAATGTCGTTCCAATATGTAAGTACCAACTGGAAAGTGTTTGCGACAATTACTGTAATTGCAACCTTAACAAAAGTAGTACCGTACTCCGTGTCTGTGTATCTATATATTTATACAATATTAGTTTAGCTGAAACAAGACCAGTGGGTTGCAACAGATAAAAATAAGCCAGTAGGAGTTAAAACATACACACACATATTAAAGTGCACGACAACACGAAGCATTTTCAGCTGTTTAGCAAGTAACAATCATCAGAATACCATATATTGACCCTGAACTTGGAGATGGCTTATGCGTTAGAATAATTAATAAAGCTACATTTATTTAGTGGACGTTAGCTATTTAATTGACAATTGTTTCATTTTCAATGCAGCATCGGAGTGTATCCAGACTCTAGGAGATAAAAGTGGCGCATTTACCTCACCACACTACCCAGACGACTATGATCTTTTAAGTGAATGCATCACCACAATATTCGTGCCCTATGGAAATATAATAGAAATTGAATTTAATGATTTTGAGATTGAATACGAAGATGATTGCAGTTGGGACTTCGTACAAGTAGGTTGTTTTTTTATAGATCGATATGATTACACAATCCTTATGAATGCTACCGAATTTTTTTTCCTTATATTCGTATTATTAATTAATATTAAATCTTTAAAACTAATGTTTTGCCTTACAAAAACAAAAATAAAAATTAACATGTTATTGTCATTAGTATTACTATTAAAATGCATACTAGCTGCTGAAGTTTAAAACAATATCCTAAACATATATTTTGTTAATTACAGATTATAGATTTGCCGTCCTACAGAACGTCACCGAAGTACTGTGGAGTACTTGACAAATTCACATATATCTCTGAAACAAACAAGGTCCAAATTATTCTTTCCAGTGATGAATATGTGTCAGCTAAAGGGTATTCTGCAAGTTATGCACAGATCAGTTATCACTTGAAATGATAGATTAAACATTAAAAAAAAACAAATTTTAAAGATTGCTCCAATTCAAATACATACCAAAAACATTTGATATTGAATATGTAGTAACAAAAATAAATATTTGAATCGTATTCTATTGCTTATGCGGTGCTTGTGTTTTTGTGTATAAACGAGTTTGCAATGAATGAAGAGATTTTTGACATGGATATTGTATGGTTTAGAATTAGTATATGGTTCACATCATGATTAATTTTCTAATTCACTATTTATAATCCGAATACCATAGAAAGTTGTTGTCGTTCTTAACGATGAATACACCAAAATGCGCTCGCCAATCCATTAAAAAAATTTTCATACAAAACTATAAAGCCTTTAAAAAAAAAACTACATTTTGACTTCAAAACAATAACAAACGGATGTTTGGTTTGTTAGCTAATGTTTGGGAAATCTTAAAAGTAATGCCATGTAGACAATTATACTGTCTGCCAAAAAAAAAATCTGGTAAATCTCGGAAATTAATTGAAACTGTGAATAGCGCAGATTCCTTCCCAGCAAAATCAGAACAAAAAAAAAAAAATTTATAAATATTTTACCACAATTCCCAATTGATTAATCAATATAAGAGTCTATGCAAAAGAATACAGGAAAAGAGACTTGTTATGAATTTGAACAAACGACGTTATTAACAGTATGTGAAAAAAAAACAATTTTTATGTGTTGAAAATGTGGTTATTTTGGCACTGTATGTTATTTTAAAAACTAGTTTGAATAACTAAATTACAAGTTTAAATGATGATTAAAACTAAGATTTCGGTTCAATATTTTTTGGTATCGAAAAATAAAAATATTCTAGGCTTCAATTCGATTTTTTTACAAAATGGAAGGCCAAAACTCATTAAATTTTACATTTTCTACACAAGGTAGGCCTACAAACGCAAATTTAAAATCTATCATAGAATAATTATTAAACTACCCAATAATATAAACATCTACTATATACGGCGTTTGGGATGCAACTGCTACTAATCAAACCATTATACATACCCCAACACTGAAGAGTCGGAACTCCAATACCATTGAAAACAGGCGAGTAGTGCCATAGTGCCAGCGAGTCATGCGAGCCAATGTGCGAGTCATGCGAACCAGCGAGCCATGCGGACCATACATTTTTTTTTTCAGGTTATCCAGTTTTGCAAACACGTAGGCCTAGCCTATATTCTTTGGCCTAGTAGATGCAAATGAATAACACACCGGGGAGCTTTGCCTGTGTAGTCTAGTCATGCGCAGCACATATACTTTTGGAATTGGTTACTTTTTCGAATCGTCGATCCGGAAGAGTATGCAGCGCTGATAGATGTTGTTAAAATACAGATATACAGATACATACATACAGATATTTATATATATATATTATTTTATTTTTTTTGTATTTATTTATTTGTATATTCATATATATATATGTATATGTATATATTTATTATATATTTATTTATATATTTATTTTTATATACTTATTTGTATATATATATTTATTTATATACATATATATATACTGTATTATTATTTTATATATATTGTAATTATTTATATATTTATTTATATACG